TTTACACCACTTAGACTACGGCCATTTGTGTGTGTGATAACCGAGACATTTTTGGGATAACTGGAAGGGAAAACTCCTTATTTTCTTATTGCCAGTGAGTTCAATGTGATGATTTTATGGACAGACTGCAATTGGCTATGTGGTTTAACACAGGGTTGATTTCAAAGTTAAAATGCTAAACAAGAAAAACGAATCAATCCTAATACTTGGCTCAGCGTAGTAGGGCTATTCAGCCCTAGCTAGCTCAGCTTGTGGCAAAGGAAGGAACATGAGGTTTGACTAGTTCCCAGGAACTCTGGAAGCTGTATTATCCCAAATGAAAGAGTTGGACTCAGATGGAAGACAAAAGCTTGTTTCTTTTTTAGGTTAGACCTCAACCGCCTTTGTTCTTGATCTCTGATCTCTGGGCTGCCTTCCCACCATCTCCAGGCTCTGCAGCTCTTGCCAGTATGGATTTTGGCCACACACTGGAGTCAGTAAAAATATGCCTGAACCTATAAAAATCCAAAACAAAAAAATTATAAATCACTGCCACTGAAAGAGAAAGAAATTATATTTTCCCCTCGTGAACTACGACTGAAGTTTTATGTTGCCTGCCCATCATATTAAACTATGAGTCATGCCTTAAAGTTAGGCATTTTGGCATGTCCTGCAGCTATTGTTTCCACAGTGGTAGTCAAAGCAATTCTGTGGACCTTAATTCACCTTGCTGACCTAGCATCTGGGGTGACCCTCTGCTGATAGGGAGCATTTTGTGAGATACAATACAGTTTTAAATGTTACGGTTTTGTTTGGGAAAAAAACACACTACCTCTCTCCTCTTGCAAAAAAATCTTCAGGAACAATATACATCAGATTATCATGCACATGACAACTATGTAAAACTGGAATGCCTATTCCCTTTGTCTAATTGCCTTGTTTTATAGAGCAAATGGGGGAAAAATGGGATTTGAATGCTAGTGAAACCATCTGTTTATTGATTGCCTAAAAGACTAAAAGCACTTGCCCCAGAATCTTGGATAGAAATGAAACTTGAAACTTCCTTGTTGTTATCTATTGTGTGTCAGAATTTTTTGTGGCAACTGAAATGTCACAATTTTTCTTGGAACAACATTCTGGCATCATTTGGTTTATTTATTTTAACTGATGATTTTCATTTCTCATTTCGTATCCAATGACTTCTGACAATGTTTCTTGTAGATAAAAACTTCGTGGGAAATTATTTGGTTTATGTGACTTTTTCTTAGACAATATGCTCAGTTTATTTGAGGGTAGTGGAATGTGGGAGAAGAGGATGGATGTTTGACTTGTTTGTACTAATGATTGCCTTGGTATTTCGCAAGATTGATGGCTTGCTTTCTTCAAAGGCATTGCTGGCCCTCTTTCCACAAAGGCACTTGAAGTCTGACTTAGGACTTCAAGAAATCTCAGTGACCTCATGACTCACCCTACCTCATTCTTGATCTTTTTGCTGTTATGTTGATGTGGGTGTCACACATGAACATTGGACAAGAATTTTGTTATTGTTGCTGTAAGGGTAGCCCAAGCCAACTCCATAATTTGTTCCCTTGTGATGCAATGTGGCCCCACTTTGAATATTTTCATTCTCCCTTTTTACTTTGATTTGATATTAGAAAAAAAGTATACACCATTTTCAAAGTCAACTTTGGGGGCAGAAAATATACATGTTATCTTTGGTACTAAAAGGCATGCTTGCTGTATTTTATTTATTTTTGTGGGTTTTTTGAGAGGAATGTGTAGTAGAGGTGGGAGAAACCTGTGAAATTTAAACCATCACGGGTTTCAGAACAACCTAGCATATTAATTACACCATTCAAATTAGTAGCTTGATCACATTAAACTTCCAAACTAATTTGCACGTGTAGACACTGCTTTTTTGTGGTATTTCTACAGTATGTCCCTTTATGAAAAATAAAGTGTAATTAAAGAGTGTGATAGATAAATTCCTGTCAAAATCATTCTTTAAAAAAACAAAGACATATTCATTTGAGATGCTTACAAAAATGACTGATGAGTACATATAGAAAAGGATATCTGGGACCAATATTTAGGCATATAGGTAATGGCTATGGTAGATAGAGAAGAGAGGTCAGCAAATTCATTCATTAGCTTTATGAATCAAAAGGCAAAATCAAAGCTATTATGTAGTTATGTATGTGACAAGAGAATAATTTTTTATACATTATTAAAAATTTAAAAATAATTATAATAATTGAGTACAATTTTTAAATACAATATGTATACTGTAGTATGCTCAATAATTAACACTTCCCTTTCTTCCCAAAAGGCATGTCCAGTTCTTAATTATTCTAATTATCTCTTAATTGCTTTCTAAATAGTACAAAAAACTAGTTTTCAGGTGGTTTATGAAATTTACCAGTTCTTCCGGATAGTGTTTAACTGAACATTCCATGCTCCTTCTTTTCTTTTGAAGAGATCTACTTGCTTTAGTTATTTATCAATGATCCCCACTGAGACGAAGTTTTCTGGCTAATTCCAAACCCAAAGCAGGTCACGATGACCATGAATTTGTAACTGGGGAGATAGTTTTTGGGAAACAGAGATGTAAAGAAGGCTAGGGGTTATTCCAGGGAAAGCTGGCATTTAATCTTAGATATGAATGCCAGGAAACCCAAAAGGATAGAAAAATAAAATATTTGAACAGGGTATTAGGGAGAATAATTTTTCAACTAAGACCAAATGCAGAAGTAGATTAGGAAGACTTGCTACAATACAGCTTTGATCATGGAATAGTGAGAAGAGTTGTATTTGAATCTCTAGATTAATGCTCCTGGATTTGCTCTCTAATCCAGTGACTAAAAAAGAGTGGAAGAAATACAGGAATGAATGTTAGAGGATAGTAGAAAACAAGCTGATAAACAAGGCTACACTGCTGGCTTGGTGTGCAGTGAGGAGGGAGTGGGTTAGCAGCTTTCCCTCAGGGCAGAGTGGAATACAGGATCTACTACCTTCTGGTTAGAAATACTTATGTGTCCCAATTTTTCAGCCTATTATTTTACTTATGGAATCTATATATAAGTCCCTTATTTAAGTTGACTGAAATAGTCACCAAGAATACATAAAAGGAAAACCAAATAAAGGTGAAAGAATATTTCAATAAGGGCATAAAATAATAACTTCAAGGACACAATTTGAATATGTTATTCATGTATAGTGTTCATTTCTTCAGCTCTCTAAATCAAATATCTGTACAAAGGTATAGTATGTCCCTATTCACTGTCTGACATCTTTTTTCTTCTATATTTTCTTTCTTCTCTAATACCAGTGGCAATAAATGCAAGGGTAAAACCTATATCAGGAGTGGTACCAAGGAAAAAATGGTTTAACAAACATCAGAATCAAATCATGGTCATATCTAGACACATTGTCAGTTATGATCTTAAGTGCTTCTCTGTCATTTATTAAATGCTTACAAACTATTTTTGATTAATATTAAAATAAATTTAATTTAGATACTTTTTCACTTTTTCTAAGAGTCAGAGATTCAGGATAGGGCTAGTTGACATTTCTAAGCCACTAACAACCCCCAGCACATTGTAAACAAAACTGCACATTGAGATCTTGCATTAAAAGATTTTAAATTAATTTTATTAAAAAATTCACTTTTTGTGGACCAATTAAATATTCTTAAGTAATTACAAAGACTTTATTTGGACCACTGCTTGCTAAATCACCAAATAAATTTTAATATGCACATGCATGCACAGGATTCAATATTTTCATTTTTCAGATGAGGCAACCAAGGCCAAAGAACTTTAATGGTTTTCCAGATGCAGTTTTAGCTGCTTGAAAAGCAAAACTAGAACTCAGGGACCCTTGCTGCAAGACCTGTATTTTGTTGCACAGCTAGTGAAGGTAGAATTGGGACTTAGATACAACTAGTGAGGTTTTAAATTCCATGCCCTTAGCTACCACCTTCTACTGCTGCTCTGAATGGAGTCCACCTCTGTCAAATTCCAGATCTCTTTTCACCCCACTACAGACTACTTTCTTTTTGATTGTGGGGTTGATTTTCAGCTTGTCTTTATAAAAACAAAGCTATCAACAAAGAAAACACAAATGTGAATTGTCAGGAGACAGCTAAATAAAATCTTCTATCAAAAATAGACACAGCTACTTAAGGGAGTGAAGATACAGGACAAAAATCCCACATATGCAATACTTTCTTTTTTGAAATTATATTGTTGGATGGTCTAATGAGCCTTTAGATCAGAACATGGAGATCAGAACATGAAGATATTTCAAAAGTGGATGACATATGTCATTATAACAAATGAACCTGTCTCAGATGCTGAACAAGTTCACAGGCTTCAATAAATTGTTGTGTTTTTCATCTCTCACCTGTATTGTGCACACATCACTCCAGTATTCTGGAAGAGAAGTGATTAACATCTCAGAATAAGACTTTTGTTTTTAAGTTGAATAGGTTTTTTTTCATTTCACAAAGAATACAGATTAATTTTTCATTAAGTACATATGGATATATCTTGCAATGATACTTCAGAAAGCCCCACAGACATAGGATAATTTGCCTCCACTTCATCATCAGATGGAAATGAAATACTTGTTTGGGGACCAAGAAAGATAGACCAAGACAGTTGAATTATTCACATCTGAAGGTTTCCAGTTTAAATGTTTTGCAAGCTCATTTGCAGCTGGGTTGCAGCAGGCTCCATCCACGTCTGTCTAATGAAACTCATGCTGAAAATCTCAGTTGGAAGTTCAGGGATTCAGAGCCATTCATCAAACCTCGTCATAATTATTTAATAAGCAACATTAAATGTTCAGTCAAGTCTTTAACTCATCAGTTCAGTTATCACAGTTTAGTGCATGCAAACATCATTTACAAGGTTTCCTGCTGAACGATAGAGGATACAAACAAACCCCATAAATTAAACCAACCCTCAAAATAACCTTCTCCTGACTGCCTACCCCCTGCCTCACCTTGTCAATGCTTGGAAAGGGTTTCTCAAATGGGCTCCCCACTAGAAAGTGGGTAGATGAGTGTTTCTTTTAGCAAGTGTCAGCTTCTGTTTGTGTTCATATGCATGCTCTATCGGATCAGTGAAGGTTCACGTTTTAAGGCTTCATGTGGCTTGCTCCTCTGTTTGTCTAGCTGGTACATGTAGGTTCATCTGTAATACATAAGTATTTTAAGCATTTAAGTATGCATTTAAGAAGTGAACACTTGGCTCTACCTTATTTTTCCCATGGTAATCAGGACCTATAATCTAAATGACGTAGAGGTGTGACATGAGAGAGAAGAAAGCAAAGAAATGGAGGAGGAGGAAGAGAGGAAAAGGAAAAGCAAGAAGCAATCCTCACAGAAATTTTCCACTGAGCTTGTAGAGCACACCAATGTGCTGTTACATATGAGTGTGACACAGGAAATTTGCCAGTAATAAGAGGCTGCATGTTTTGTAACATACTCCTAAAATATATTAGAGTGGGTTCAAGGTTATTCCTGTTACAGTGTCACTGACTCATATGGATTCTATTATGCTTTCTTAGGAGAAAGAGAAAAGTTTTGATCACATTAGTGATAATTTTCTTTTAAATAAAACTCTCTCTTTTTTTCTAGACTACAGCCCTTGGTATGCTGGCTGTACAGATATCTTATTCTGGTGTGTGTGTGTATGTGTGGGTGCATGCATGTGTGCTCACTCTTACACATCTGTGCACACAGATGCAATTTCTTGCCTTAGGAAGCATATAAAGAGGAAATTAGGTGCTCAGAACTTCAGTTCTTCCAGTGGTTCCAGTCAAGTCACTGCAGAATTTCTGAACTGCCATTTAGGCTGTTGGGAATCAGCAAGCTCCACAGCTTCCTTGGGCAGTGAGATGAATGATGGTTGAGGAGCCCTGAGGTCTAGGTTTTCACTCCACTTTTGTCATTAACTAGATGTGTACCCATCTATAAGTCTTGGTTTTTAAAATTACAGTTGGTATGCCAAATTTCTGTAAAAAATTTATTAAATGAGTTCTTAAATAGGATATCTCCATATGTACTTTTAAAGAATTAAATGCCCTTCAAATTTTAAAATTTTTAGTTTCTACCTCAAGCATGAATATACATGAATATATATTCATATATATTCTATATATTCTCTCTCTCTATGTGTATATATATGTACACACTCATGCTTAAGGTAGAAACTAGAAACTTTATATGAATTTATAAATTTAAGAAGTTCTGATGAGCAGGAATGATTAAAACTTTAAAACTATACTCATTATGATTACCAACTTTTGAAAGGTGCTCCACCCAAATGATGCCAATTGAATGAATAGTCATGATCTTTCCATGAATGAGCATAGCATATTGAAATAAAATACTAATATTTTGCATGTAATAGTGGACTTGGTGGATATATTGTATTAAAAATGTGCTCTTGAAATGGCTGTTTGAATAATTTCAAGGCCTTATGAAGCATATCATATTTCCTTTGCATTTCATGCAGCCACTCATGGTGTCACTGAGATTCCTTTAGCTGATCCTCAAGAGAAGATCTTTCCACTTACAACATCTTCTAATTATGCTGTTTCTCTCCCTGAGTCATTCTCTCTTTCTGATTCCTCCAAGAACACGCATCTGGTCACTCTGCAGTTGTAGTAGTTCAGATCTTACATACATTGACTTTTCTGAAGAAGTCAAATCTACCGCCAGTTCTCAGTATTCTGCAATTACAACGCTGTGTTCTCTCCTTTTTTTGAACTTATCACAATGGTAAACTTAGATTATTTTACTATAATTGTTGATTATCTGTTGGTCTATTATAAGTGCCCTAAGGTCAGGGAGGGAATCTACCTTGCTCAATGCTCTTTTTTCAGAGCCTCCCTCTGTGCTTATGACTTTGTAGATCAGTGAATGTTTGCGGAAAGGATGGTTTGTTCCTGCTCCCTCACTGGCTTAACAAGGGTTATCCAGACCTAGGAAACAGTATGGTGCTCAATAAGTGATTCATCACTCAGCTCATTCAGTGCACATGCATCTATTATGTCCCTGTTTTAGGCCAGCCAATGGGATTTAGTCATTTAGTGAGAAATGAACCACTTTGGGGAAATTTAATTGACTAGGATTTAAACGACCAGAAAGAAAAATCAGAGGGCATTCTAAGTCAAAGAGGAGGAATAGCATCAGAGAAATGGGAGAGTAAAATGTAGTCAAGTGGTAATTCTCCAAGGGGAGTGCTGTAAGGAAGACAGAAAATGTATATAAGAATCATATTGTAGATTAGCTACACAGTTATAAGGTGATTACTTGTAACCTTATGGGCACTTGGCAATGGTTGAAATTTTAGTCTTGGCCTAGCTCATTTGCTTGGAGTTCTTTATAACAGTATTTGTGAAATCTTTCTATTCATAGTCTCACATACTTGATATGTAATATTTAATCCTCAAATCTGCCCTTTGCCTTTTACAGAGGAGAAATCTAAAACGTATAGGTGCAAACCCTCAAATCTGCCCTTTCCCTTTTACAGAGGAGAAATCTGAAATGTATAGATGCAAACTAACTTGACCTAGGTTCCTGTGTAGTAAATAGTAGAGGAAGAAGTTGAGTTCATGCAGTCTGTCTCCAGAACCCATGCCCTTAACTTGGATGTTGAGTTGTTAAATGTCATTTTCATAGGAGGGCCTGAGGTCTCATCATTTCACTTTGCACCATAGTGTAGATTGGGGCTTCTGTGTACTACAGACTCACAACACACTTTTGCATCTCTGAGGGAGTTGTAAATTTTATTTAGTAAATTTAATTCCAAAAAGACATAGAGCAAGTTTGTGAAAATTATTGTTTTGCCAATCAGGAAAAAAGAGGCAACATATGGTACTGGCTTAGGAGCTATTGACAGGATTCTAGCTCTGTTACCGTCCCTAATTATAGAATCTGTTCGTTGGCCTTTTTTTTTTTTACCCATTATATATCAGGTTCAGCTAGATTATCTCTAACACCCTCTATCATACTACTTTTATGCTCTTCTTCAAATCCTCTTGGTCTCAATCAGTTCTGACTTTGGCCTCTGATACAGGGACACACAGTCTTTGATCACCTTCTTGCAGATGTACCTCCCTGGGGCCATGCTGTAGCCCTCTCTGTTTCTGCCCTGGAGCTGTGTTTACACTAGAGTATGCTTGCATGACCCTGCCTAGAACTCAGCATGCACAACCTGGAAGTCCGCTTTCATCATCTGGAAGATGATTCTGAATGCAATTAATGAACCTATTCCAAAGCTCTTGTAGAATTGAGAGTGAGCGAGTGGTCCTGGTGGCATCCAGGTAACAAATCTTTTATTGACTACCCTTCTTTCATGTTTGATTCAGTCTCCTTCTCATTCCTCATAAATTATCCTCATGCAAGTCTTTGTCTTCCATTCTCAGTTGAAGATCACACAAGCTAAGAGTGGTGTCTTCCATAGTCAGGTTGTTGACTCTGTGATCTAGTAAAAGTGACTCTAAGAACATCTTGGTGGGGCTGGGTAGACTGAATAAATTCCTTAGACCCTTTCCAGGCTTTCCAAGTTAGCTTTTGGAAAGTTGCTAAAATAATTGTTGCATACTCTTGTAGGAAGTGTTGCGTATTTACAAAAGTCAGGAGGAATAAAAATAGGCATTTAAAGGGTTATTCTAATCACCCATCGAGGACTGCAGTGTCATTTTTCTAAAATTAGATATTTTGAATTAAATAACTCAAATTTTAAGGTGTTGTAATCTTTAGCATGAGTTTTCAAAATACTGAGAAATTATATGTTCATATTATCTTTCTTAAAGATTATTTCCCAGTATTGTATATGAGTGTGAGTTTTCAGAAGGAAATATTAAAAATCTAGTGACTTTTGGTTAAGGAGTGATGAAGTACAGGTGGGAAGCATGTGAGGAGGGGAGAGAAAGAAAGAGGATTAAGGGTCCAGTAGGAAGACCGAAGAGACAGGATGCCGTACAGGATTTTAGGATCCCTTGAGGCCAATTTTTTTGATGGAAGCTTCATTGACCTCAGTAAAGTATTATTTCCAAATTCTAGATACATCTTCATAAAGAAGTCCTCCAATATATTCTACAGCAAAGCAGGAAAACATAGCATTTGACTTACATGATATTTAGTAGTGCATGAACCTTTGTTTACTTATCCCTAAAATGAAGATGTTGAATTGCTCAGGTCTTCTGACTCCAGTGTAAAAACTAGATAGTAGAAAACAAACATCTGTGCATTTAGACCACTGCTCTCTCTGCTGCTGATGTTTTTGAATAACACGGACCATTCTTTGTACTTGTATAGCCTTGAGTTACTGGATCAAACCTTGCAGCTTGTGTGGTTGTTGTGAAGATTGTAGGTAACACACATAGAACAATGTCTAGTGTACCATAAACCTTTGTGAATTTTAGTATCAAGCATCCATAGAAAAATGAAACATAAATGGCTGTCTAAGGTATTCTATTATAATGAATATGAAAGGTAGAGTAGAATTATCTAGTTATCACAATGCTGAACCATTATTTGAAGAAAATGCTGAAAATTAGTTGAAGAAAATGCAAAATGTCTTAGTTGTCAGTAAACTCAGGAAGACTTAAGAATGGGATGTAGAGGGCAAAATGTCTGTTTCATTGCAGGATTTCCCTTAACTGCATAGTATTAATGATCAAGTGCTCACAATGTTCTGGGCATTTCTGTAGATACATTACATGAAATCCCACCACCTCACACGGTGACTTGCTGTTATCCATTCTTAGAGAAAATGAGCTGAGACACAGAGGTCAAGTGACCTGCCCAAAGTCACACAGCTACCAAATATGGGAGTTTGGGTTTGAACCTGGGCAGTCTGGCTTTAGGATAGGTGCACTTAACCAGTATTTTATACTAACTTTAAAATTGGCCAAATGGAATTTATAAGCATCCTCTAGAGAGTGAAATGCATTACTATTCTGTAATCAAACTTCAAGTCACCTTTCCAACTCCATTTTCTATTACACTTCAGCCCCACTCCACGCTTCAAGAAGCAGGAATTTCTTTCAAAATCTTGCATGTACCACTCTATATCTTTTTAAAATATTGCCTCAAATACCCTTTTTACTTGTTTTGCTTAATCAAATTTTACCCATTATTTAAGCCCTGTCATGAGGCCCAATTATTTCAAAAAACTCT